TTTATTGACCTCAAATTTGCTAGTCTCACACACAACAGAAAAATCGCTGATTTTCAACTCACTTTTTCGTCGAATGTGAGCTCCAAAAATTCGCACGCCGGCCTCTTCATGGACCTCTCTCTTTCATTTCAGGTCATCTTGGAGAGTTTTAACGCTTAAGTTCCGAGGTAAATTTTTAAAAGGCAGATTGGGTTCTTTATAAGACACTACGCAGAGATTTCGCTCCAATTTTACGAGGATTTTATGATCTAAGTTCTAGTTTTTTATAGGCGCAAGTCCCTATAGTTAATTACCCATCCAGATAACGAGAGAGAACTTTCAATTAAGACTAGTAGTGAAACAGATACAGAGTATCTAGCTTATAGTAGTAGCATGATTTAGGTATTTAAAAAATTGATATTTAAAATTTTAAACATAAATAAAATAAAATAAATAGTTTAATAAATTAAAAAAATGATTCTAATTAGCCCCTTAGCTATTTTAATTTTATTCCACTTATTTGTACAACCCTTACTGTTTAGGACTTCTATAGGTTCCTTTAAGTGAGTTCTAAATTTTAGACTATATGTGGATAAGAAGTTGAGAATTCCAGTGAAATGAAAGAAAATATGCGTTAAAAAATCAAATCAATTCTTTGTCATATTAAGAGTCAAATCCTCATTTAAATTTAATAAAAAAATATTATTTCTAATGGGAATTATAATTGTTTTGGAATGAATGATAATGTTACAGACACTCGATCATGTCTCGGGTCACGCATTACTAAAAAATTACACGTGGCTGTGCAAAATAACTTAACCCGAAAAATATGTGTCGACTATGGATTGAAGTACGAATATAGAGCCATGCTCGGACTCAGCACAGAATAATTTCTCCTTTGGAAGGCATCCCGTCCCTCCATATTCTCAACTTGCTTGATGAGGTTTCATTTGGTACATATTTCTGACTACTTTTGGGATTTTACATACATAACACTTAAAAGTCTGTTATATGCTCACCTAGCTCTGTATTTACACACCTACCACTTAAAAATTACTCGGCTTTCTAAATTACTATTTTGTCTTCTTCCGTCAAAAACCCACCCGATATTGCACGGCCCTTCCTGTTTGCGCGCGAAACTCATCTTCTCTGCCTCTTGTTCAAGCAGCTCCTTTTGCATTTGAACCCCACCCATGCCGCCCACATTCTCCATTCCATGTGAACATCCATATCGAGCTAAATCGCTCGACGTGTCGTGTGAGCTTCAATCGTCTTCGGCCTCCCGTCCACTCTTCCTCGATTAGTCGTTCAAGAAAATCCCAACCGGATATATTTTCAACTTGAAATTATCACTTCATTCGGGTAAACGATTCATAACTCATCTCACAAGGAATAACCTCTTCCTCTGTTGTTATTGCTCATCATTCTTATTAAAATTGTATGCTAGACCATTTTTTCCCATATAATCCTAAGCCTTGTATCATTGAAATTTTACTTCATTGAATATATTTTAAACTTGAGTGTATTGTATCATTGAAACTTTACTTATCTTGTGTTGTATTCTCTTTAACTGCTAGGAAAAGTATTTGGGATGCTTACATTTGCTTATCGGATGAAATTTATCTCATTAAGAACTGTATTGGCAGATATGGATTCCAACAATTTATGTTATATTGTCTTCAAATATGGAGGATATTGGAGTGAAGTGAAGGGTCAAACCAAGCTAAAATATGTTGGGGGAAGTCAAAAAACTTTAAAATTTGCGAGAAGTGATATTAATTTGTTATCGATGAAGGAACGAACCGAAGCACTTTGCCCATGGCTTAGGAGTCATGCCTACGACTTACACTATCATATTAATGGAACATTGTCTAAAAATTACATGCTCACTATAAGTGATACGGATGTAATGGACATGCTTGCAGATTCTTTTGATCGCCTCAGAATGGAGGTGATTGTCATAGTGAAAGATCATGAAAAAGATATGGGTATTGCTTATGACAACCAGCGTGTGGATACAAATGATTTAATGATTTAAGTGCGAACAGTAAGGCTAACAATGATGTAATAGTATGCGGAATGTCTAATTGTTTTTTTGTGGCTCCGGATTTAGAGGAACATTTTCTATGTGTTGGATTGTGCTTTGAGGATTTGTTATGGTTCAAACAAGTCATTCATTCCAATACAATTTTACATAACTTTGATATCAAGAATAAGGCTAGTAACAAATCAAAAGTTATTGCAACTTGCACATACCATGGTTGTCTATGGAGGATACGTGCTTCGTTATGTTCATATGACCACTCCTTGAGAAATTACATTCAATACATGTATGCCCAGGATAAACAGAGCTAGAAACAAGCAAAAAACTACATGTTGCGTTGCACATGAGATCTAGGACATTGTAAAAAGAATCCTGATATTACACCTAAGGACATTAGTAATAACTTGGAGACCACTTTTGGTTTGACTTTACCATACATGAAAATATGACGTTCAAGGGCACTAGCAAGAGACCAAATTTTTGGTTCAATAGATGATAACTACAATTGGGTGCCTACAATTGGGTGCCTACGCTAAGGTTTGAATTAGTTAACAAAAATACTGGCTCTCATATAACATATCAATGTGACAACATAACCAAACATTCAAGAGATTCTTTGTTAGTTTCAAAGTTTGCATTGATGGCTTCCTAGCCGGGTGTAGATATTTAATCGGCATTGATGCATGCCATCTGAAATCAAAGTATTTGTGTACTACTTTCTACAAATTATCTGGATGGGAATAAAGGTCTCTTCACTATTGCATTCGTCTTTGCTAAATCTGAATTAAAGAAAAGTTGGGAGTGATTTTTGAAAAATTTGTCTGAAGCTTTTAGTTATGATGTAAAACATTTAGCCTTAATATCAGATATGGAGAAATTGTTAGGTGAAGCTATTAAGGCTGTGTTTCCAAATGCCGAGCACATATTGTGCATGAGACACCTTTGAAAGAACATTAAGAAATCTTTCATTGTGAAGATGGACAGAAGTTACAAAAGTTGGTGTGGACTGCCGCAAATAGTTATAGTCAACATAATTTCAATGCCAAGTTAGAAAAAATCCACAACATTAGTCCAGGAGTATATTCATACCAAATTGCACTGACATGTAAGTGGTTAAAATCCACTTTTTGCAAGCATGTTAAAAACGACAACAACACAAATAATATGACAGAATCCTTCCATCGTTCTCAGAGGAAGTTAAATTGTACTTCTTGGAAGAGGCCTCTCGTTCCTTGTATGGGGAGTATATCATAGATGTTACAATAAGGAAAGAGCACCACATAATTCGCCAGTCTACTTCAACCAAAGCTGAGGCCGAAGGGAGTTACGAGAGTCATGCGATGGACATAGAGAACCATATGGTAGCCGTGGGTTCTAGAAGTTATGTGAACTTCAATGTGTACATGATGCTGCATTCTATGGCACACATACATTGATGAGCACTACTACAGTTATAGGTTTGCATCCCAGTTGTAGCAAAAAACTTTTTTATTTGCTGTTATTTTTCTTAAGAACTCCACTTTGGGCAGCTATAAAATGGTATACGATAGAGCTATTGGAACACTTCCAGGGCAGGAGCAGTGGTCCGTACTTAGTGATGGCGAAGTCGTCGCTCCACCAATTTCACGTAGGCCTCATGGTAGACCAAAGAAAAAATGAATAAAAAACTTCTTAGAAATTGTAAAGAGAACAAACAACAACAACATCAAGCCTTTTTTCCCACTACGTGGGGTCTGCTACATGAATCCTTTTTCTCCATTGTATCCAGTTAAAAATCAAATTTTCGTTTAAATATAATAAAGAAATATCATTTCTAATATTTTCTAACCAAGTCTTTTTAGATCTACCTCTACCTTTCTTAACATAAGTCAACAAAAATGAGCCATAAATATGGTCATTGCAACTCATGGGGGCACCATAGAAGCACTTGCAAGAACCCTTTAAATATTGAAGGAGAAGATAATGCGCATGTGTTGCATATGCCTACAACATCAGGTCTTCCTGAAAAACTACCAATTAGCCGTGCAGATCATCAATTTAGTTGTAGTTGATCGATCATGCAGTAATTCACACACCAAGAGTCTTGTTTTGTAATCCAGCTGTATGGTGTAATCCATTTTTGTAATCCAGTTTTGTAACTGTTATGTAACAGATATTCTACAAATGCAAAAAATGAAGAAACTGAGCTATGACTCTCCTCACAATCTCCTCCCAATGAATATTTGCAGTTGTGGATATCTTCAAATTGTCCTTATCTTCTCCTCCAATTCAATTATGAAGTTCAGAGTAAGATTGAAATAGAGCTGTGTGCTTTTTACTTGCTTATAATGTAATTATAATGTAAATATGTTCATTTCTTATCTTCCATATAAGAAATGAAGAAACTGAGCTATGATCCACCTGCTCACGATTACAGGAAACAGAATTACACAGAAGCTCTGAACAATAACAATTCACTCAACAATAACTGATCGATCATAAAGAAACAAGCTCTTAAATTTTAAACTGATATAAGTCTTCTTACAATAACAAATCACTTAAGCAAAATAGAACTGACTCAGTTACACACAAGCAAAATGCGGCTCGAACTCATTTACAATTACAACACTTTGATATCAAATTCAAGACAACTACAAGAAGCAAAATGAGGATCACCAATAACATTTTAATTTGAAGAAACTCAGTTGTAAGTGAGACAGTATGGTTGGAAAGGACTTCAGCTGCATTTGCACTTGTTTTGTTTTTTTTTTCAATCATAAAGAAACAAGCTCTTAAATTTATAACTGATATGAGTCTTCTTACAATAACAAACCACTTAAGCAAAATAGAACCTACTCGGTTACACAAGCAAAATACGGCTCGAACTCATTTACAATTACAACATTTTGATATCAAATTCAAGACAACTACAAGAAGCAAAATGAGGATCACCAATAACATTTTAATTTGAAGAAACTCAGTTGTAAGTGAGACAGTATGGTTGGAAAGGACTTCAGCTGCATTTGCACTTGTAATATGTTTCATATCTTCCGATAAACCATTTCGTTCGTCAAACCACCTAAAAAATCTACAATCATCCTCTGATTTGTTCCGGGGACATCGATAGAATTTTCTGCCACGATTATTAGCTTTATAGTAAGTATAAATTGAACATTGCATATTACAATGACAATATATTGGGATGTTCAGGTTTCGCATTGATGTCATCGAGCGGCTCGAACTCATTTCACAAATCGACAATAACTGAAATTGCAAATCAAAGATGTAACTCACAATTCAATGAAAAAAATGCTAACAAATCTGAATTGAAATGGGATTTTTACTACAATGAATTTGTTAGTTTTTTTAAACCTGTTACTGAAGAGCTGAAGGAAGTGTCTGGCAGGACTTCAAAACCTGTTAATGAGAGCTGAAGGAAGTATCTCAAAACAGAAAATAAGATAGCTGACTACGTTTCTAAACAAAATTTGCTTTCTGGAATTAGCTTGCAAGTAACAAAGAATTCAGAACATAGCCTGTAAGTGAACCTCCATTTGATGATGCATGAATTAGTTTATAAGTAGATTTACAAACCGAGATTTTAAAATTAAGCATGAAGAAGACGGGAAAGAGAAACACAACACAAATACACTTTATGTTCCATGAAAAAACTTAAAAATATTGTCTTCTTACATATTACTCACAAAAAATCATTGAAAAAGCGCCAAGGCCGAAGAAAGAACCCTAGACGGAGAAATTAGGAATACATTTTTCAAACCTAGTCGGAGAAATGGAGAAGACGAACGCCATACCTACACGAAGAAATGGAGAAGACGAAATGGCAATGCGAACAGATGTTGCCGAGCGAAGAACAAACCCTAGACGAAGAAATGGCGAGTTACCGAGCAACGGGCGGGGTTTTGAAGCAGTAAAACGGAATAAATATGTCATCTGTGTATGAGTTTACTTTAATTGATGTAAATGTCTTCAAAAATAAATATAGAAATATTTATTTTTCGGGCATGTAATATTAACTATATGTTATTATATCTCTCCATTTTTTTTACTAATTATTTGCTATGTGTTTCTGACTGAATATATATTAATTATTCGGGTAGCATGTCTTAATTTTACGATTACAATTTGAAACTTTGCGGGAAATATGTTTTTGCTGCTATGAATGTATACATTTTCTTATTTCGTAGGCCAGTCAGGCCGAACTAATGATGTGAGAGATTGCAAGCGTGCGAGGGTTGGGGATTTTTTTAAGTAGCGTAAGTAAACAGTAAATTAGAAGAAGTAGTGTGACAAAATTACAAAAATAAAATTTAGAAAAGATCTGATTCACTAAAATGTTCGGCAGAATTATGTTTTATGAATAAAATTAAGGGTGTCAATAATTGATCCGACTTGAAATTTGATCCAGACCTGACCCGTAAAATTCTGGGTTCGAGCCAACCTGTTTATTAGACGTGTCAAGTTCGGGTTTAATTTTTCGACCCATTTACAACACTGGGTCGGGTTCGGGTTGACCCGAAAACCTGAAATTAACCCGGGTTGACTCGTAAACCCTAATGCGTCTACCCGCTAGTTGCTCGCGTCGCAAGCCTAGTAGCCTCCACTGGTTCGACTGGTTTGACCCCGGTTCAAAATGATCGAATCGGGGTCCAATTGGATGACGTAATAAATAATAATGTTATTATAAAAATTTAATAAAATTAACAAAAAAATGAAATATAATAATCATATAATTTAATGCTATTAAGTGAGCAAATAATAGATTTTTAATGCTTCTTAAAGCATCTTTTTAGTACAAAAAATTTAAAATTTTTGTACTAAAAAGCTGCTTTGAAAAGCAATAAAAAAGCCGTCACAAACAAAGCATAAGTGTTATGTATGTAAAAATCTCATTACAAGTAAAGTAACATTTTAGTAAAAAAAAAATTTTTGAATTAAAATTTTTTATATTAAAAAGTTATTTCAGAAAGTAAAACCTTAGACACATAAATTTGAATTATGTAACTAAATATTTATTTATAGTACCCATTAATTTATAATATACCATGGTAGTAAAATATATGATTGCAACTCAAAAGTTTTAATTTAAAAAAAATATATATATGGGAATTGGGCGGTGCTATATGAAATTATATACAAAGGAAGATGATGAGCTTACACAGTATAATCCCACATGTATTGTGTCTTCTTTGCTGCAGTGATTGGCAAAGTAGTTCAGTTGCTCTGTTGAAGCAACAGAAGATTTGTTCAGGAGAGCAATAATTGTCTTTCTTTTAAGCCCTCTGTATCACTGATTTATACTGTACTTCAACAAGGAAGATGACATACAACTTGCATGGTGGCCCGCATTCGAGGAAAAATTATTCTGTACGGACACCGAACGTGGACTGAAGACTAACCAGAATGTGTCACGTCACCCCTTCGCTCGGTACCGTTGACGCATTCAGGTTGGTCTCCGGATGATGTCACAGAATAATTTTAGGCACATGCACCTAATATCTTTTGACTGTTTATAATTTCCTTGGTTTTTCCCTTGCCATATTCATGTGCGAAAAGATTTGTGATTCATTCATTGAAAAAAAAAGTTCTGCTTAGTATTTAAGAAAATGAGATTCACATGTCTATATAGGAATGAATATTTGTTTTGTCTACTGCTTTGTTTTTTTTTTTTTTTTTTTGCCACTACTTTAAAATGTTTCCAATAATATTTTGTGTTACGAAGTTATTTTCTACAACAGCTTTAAAAAGTATTATTTTCTTCATAGTAGATTTACAATCACATTTATAAAAAGCTGCTGCCGTGACAAATGGATCCTTACTTTAGAGGTGTAATCGAGTTATGCTGAGCTGGTGTCATCCTCGATATGAGCTTGAACTTGATTAATCAATCGAGCTCGAGCTTAATTTTACGAGCTGAAATCAACTCATGAACCGACTCATTTCTCATACAAGAGAGAAAATCCTTCTTATTCAAGCAATTATTATAAAACATAGATTAAAAATAATAATAATAAATGAGAAATAATAAGAAATCACTTATATTTATGTATTAAGATTACATTTGCTTAAATATCTTAGAAAATGTTATATTGAATTGTACTCATATATTTTTAATTATACTTCTAAAAAATAGGAAAAAAAAATATTTTTCCATCAACAGTAATATTTTTGTAAAACTTTATGTAGAAGGTGGTGAGTTGAACATATGACAAATTGACAGTGCATAGAGACAATTGTTTTATAGCAACAGGACTTTTGTCTGGCCTACTTGGAATGCATGCATCCCCCTACAAAAGTTAAATGACAGAGCCCTTGGCCTGTTCAGTAGGGCAAATTATTATGTGCGGAGTCCGGACGTCATCCAAAGGTTAATAAAAATTTCCCACGTCACCCAAAAAGTGTACCGCGCTCGGTACCGAGTGCGATACCGAGCCTCAGTACTGCTCAATACCGTGCTCGATACCCAGCTGTATGGGACGGAAGAACCGTCAGGTGTCTGCACAGAATAATCTCTCGTTCGGCGGCCACCTTTGTTAGGTTTGCATGTAATAATTGAAGAAAGAAGTTGGAAGGCCTTATTGTTGTGAGTGGCAGATAAAGATAAAGGCTTCTGAGTTCTGCACCATGTAAGTGTTTCTTTTACTGTATGATTGGAGCATTCTGTGATGCCTCATGAGCATAAAAGACAAGTTGGAACCTCGTAACAAGGTAAGCTTTAGTTAGAAGGATCATACTAAAATAGTAAAATGATCAGTGTTTTTTGTAAGCTATTTATAATTAGTTTGGGATGATTTTTTTTTTTTGCTTTTTAAATTAATTTTTTTGGTATAAAATAAAAATATTTGTATTAAAAAATTATTTAAAAAAAAAATCTTCTCAAACGAAATCTTAATCTTTTGTTGACTTGAAATAAATTGTCATGGCAGTGCTTCCAATAATACCCATTCATTTCATATTTTAAAAGCAATTGTCATATTAGGAGTAGCAAACTTCTCATTTTTAATAAGTATTATAGAATTTTTTATTAACCGTAAAAAAGAGGGTGAATTATTATGTCCAGTCATCGGATGTCCGGACACCGAATCCAGATGCGCCACGTCACCCGAATACACTGGGTCCCGATGTATTTTGATGATGTGGCACGTCTAGATTGATGTCTGGACGAATCCAGAAACCGGACGAAATAATTTGCCAAAAAGGAGAGGCTTATCTGCATCACAATTGCAAGAAGAATGGAAAAAAAAACTTGAAATAATCAATTTATCTTTCTCTTAGTTGTGACATTACTTTCAACTTGATAGCTGTCATCTATCTTTATTATTTCTCCACTATTTTCTACTGAGGTTTTTTTTTTTGGATAATTTTCTTTCTGTATGTTTTTTAAAGCAGCTTTTTAATAGGATTTTTTTTTATTTTTTTAACTAAAATTTTACTTTATAAAGCAATAAGAAATCTGTCCCAAATGAAGCCTTAATTTACAAGAGGTCAAGCCAGCAATTCCTATTTTGTAATCATGCATTCTCTAATATAGTGGGAAAATAAAATTATCTCTATATATAGAGGATTCGTTGAATTGGGTCAAACATTATGATTTTTTTCTTCCTGAGTTTTATACATAAAATTCTAATCTAAATTATAGGCTTCTTTTATTTCTATGTACATACGAATCTTTACGCAATACTAAAGTTTTATTTGAGACAATTTTTTTTTTTATTTTTTTAAATAGTTTTTAATTAAAAAAAAATTGTACTGAAAAAACTACTTTAAATAGTAGTAAAAAAGTCATCTCAAATGAAGACTAAAACATAAAATTCCTTTTGAAGTTATTATTGCAGCAATAGCTTTAGTAAAAAATTAGAAAAAATACCCTAGATAATGATAAACTTAAATTACAATTATGTTACACTCCCTCAAAAAATCTATAAAAAATTTATTTGATCCCCACTTTTTTATAGAAGAACTCAATTTTGAGATAATATCATCCACTTAACTACTTTGGCTTGAAAAGAGTGTGTTTCACCAAATCAACTGTGTTTATGTGCAAAAATTATTAGGTGCGGAATTCAGACGTAACTTTTCGTTTGAATTTTCTCTTTCTTGTACACATTTTATATATATACAAAAAAATTCAAGTGTTTCACTTGCCTGGAGTCTGGACGGCCGGACTCCACGGGTAATAATCTTTCATTTACGTGGCATGAATTTATATAAATTCTTTTAAAAGCATATTTTTTCTCGTTCAAATGACAATGTATTGGGCATGCCATCTAGTTGAGAGGAATTATTAAGTTCGGAGTTTAGACGTAAAGTTAAGTTTCTACTCTGAATGTACATAATATAAAGTATTATGTACACTCACAGTCCAAATTTATCATGTTCAAATTAGGGGTGCCAAAATTTGACAAGACTCGAAACCCGATTTGAAAAAATCTGGGTTCGGATCGACCTGTTTGCTATATAGGTTGTGTTCGGGTTTGATAATCCGACATGATTATAGATTTGGGTCGTGTCCAATTTTTTTAATTTTAATATATCATAACCATTATTTATATGATTTATAAATCATTTATAAAATTGGACAAATTAATCATTATTAGTATTTTTTTTCTTTTAAAATTGCCTATGCTCATTTAAGTCCGGATGAAAAAAATTAAGAGAAATTTTGTAAAAATAAATTTAGGCCCCCTCCAAAAAAAAATTCTGGCTCCACCACTGATCGTGCCCGAGTTAACCTGGAAATCAAAAAAGGCCAATCCCCCCCTACACTCATGCTAACCTCGCATGCAAATTGCACTTGGCTGCCATCAGCTGCAGCCTGCGCAGCCTCACGGTGATTGGTCCAGCATGTGTCGCGTGTCCCGGTTAGTCCCAAAT